ATATGTATATATATATATATACATATATATATATATATATATATATATATATATATATATATCAGACAACGATAGAATATTATATAGAACGTTTTCGTTAAAAACTTTTTTAACTTCAATAATAACAACAATGTTACATGTAAATACAAACGAGTTCTCCTACATCTTTATTTTTCTACCAAAGATAACAAATTAAACCATTTAACAACTTGTGTTCAGCATATCAGTTTAAGATGACATTTCATTAACAACATATTCGTTGGCAATTTTATCAAAGTTACTAACGATATAAAATAAAAAAATTAAACCATTCCAATAAAAAATTATAACTGAATAAATTATTTAAAATAATACAATTAAATTCATGTAACCAATTGCGGATCAAGTTTAACATTAGCCCAGAATTTTCATGTTTTATATTTTTTGTCTTCAAGAAATCCAAGCTGACCTAATTTTGCACAAGCTTCTCTGCTTCCAAAAAAACCAAGCACATACCAGATTGCTGTCTGGACAACATCTGCGGAAATTGATAAACATCACAAATTTATTTAAAAAAAAAACAAGGCAAAACTTACCTCATAAATATAGGATATGGAGAATTTTGTAAACACATTTCGTCTCTTCTCGAACATAACAAATATGTCCTAGGAAAGTTAGAAATACCATGTTTTTTATGTTAAAGATGCAGCATTGCCAAAAATTTTGAACAAATTATTATGTTTTTTATGGAATTCTAATGACTGTCTAGACAATTTTTTCAATACCTGGTAATCTATAGCTTCAGGGTTCAAATGATTTCACAATTATTCACACGTTTAAATACATAAGTCTAAAAATTTGTTACTTTTTTTTAAAACCAAATTCATATAACATAACAGGACATAACATGATATATATATAAAGGACTCAAACTTTAGAGTCAGTATAGAATCTCTAAAGCAATTCCAATGTTTTAAAAATTCCAATGTCTTTACGATGCCTAAATGTCCAAAATCAAATTTAAATTTTAAATTTAACTTAAATATTCAAATTTAGCACATGCGGAAAATCTTTACTTTCCAACAAACACGTTTTAATTGGGTTCAGAGCTACTTGTATCAAACTTTTAATGCGTTGATACTAATTAATTCAATGAAAATGAAGTGTAAATACATGTAAAAATAAACCAGCTTGCTCCACGACAAACATAATTTTTATGTTAGAGAACACCAAAAGTTGAAAAATTTACCATTTTATCATAATCTCTTTTGAGACATTTCTGGCTGCATCAGCATCCAGTTCATTACCTGTAATTCATCATATCAATATATTTTAAAGATTTTAACCATGCTATTTCAATATATCCTACTACTAATTGAATGCAAAAATTATTAACATTTATTTGTAATCTGGCCCCCGGGGAAGAATCGGATTGGCTATTTGCCGGGACATAGACAGATTATAAAATATAGGTTCTAATATTTTTGAATACAAATTACTGCTAAAAAAATGCCAATAATGTATGTGAACAACAATTTAAATCGCTGAAGGTTTTTGTTAGTTAAATAGTTCTCCTAGTTAAATAACTGTTTGCATATTACAGTTTTTCCGATACAGCTATCACTCAGAGACTTTGTATTATTCACAGGCATTGCAATTTACAAAACATCTTGGAAGTTGACCTGGAAGCACTTGTGCGAGAGATCGTGTAACACGTTTTAGAAACGCAATACAGAGGTCTACCTCGATCATCCAACCACGGTGACCTCCTACTTCAAAAAATTCAAATTTAACAAAAGTAACCAACGTTGAATCAGAAAGGCTAAAAGGCAAATGATGAATATTTTGACGATCATGTTTTGCAATTTTTTTCTTTCCCAAAATTACATTGGAAAATTGAAGAAAAACCACCATTTTTATCCATTTCAATCGAAAGAAACTGATTTGAATAATGTAAAGTTAAACATTTGACTACACGTCGGAAAGCGTTGAAAACATTCATTCAATAAATTCAAATGATGATGAAACGTTGCAATTTGAATAATGTGCTTCGCTCAAATGCAAAATACTGAATTGCAAAAAAGTTAGTTTTCAAACTGCTGACAAAAACTTTGATCTGAAAATGTTTATTACAGTCGGACCTCCTCATAGCGAAGTTCTATACAACGAATATCTCTATGTAACAAATTTTCCTATGTTCCTATCAAAAATGATGAAGAAGTAAAAAAAAATATGCGCACCATAATGCAAATAAAAGTAATCCATATTTGATTATCAGAATGTTTGAATAAACAATAGAAGAATTAATAGAATTACATTGTTATAAAATGATGATCTGTGCGTTTCTATAACTTGTAAGCGATGAAATTGTGCCGGTAGGTTTCGGTTGGAAGAATTTGATTCCATCAAATTTTTGAGAGGTTCGCTTTGTTAATGTGATATTTTTATATAAGAAAACTATCAATGAAAATTTAAAAAAATTCAATTTTTTTTTAAAAGTTGTTAAAAAAGGTTGTTAATTAAAAAATAATGTTAACCTGCAGAAATGGCAATGCAGTTAAACCAGTCTTAAATTTGAATTTCGTTACAAGTCGTTAGCTTCAACAGCTGACAAGAAGTATAGAATAATAGGAGAGCTTAACAATCCCATGCCTATAGCCTCCGAACCTACCACATCAGTCTACGATCGTTACTGGAATGTTCCAGCAAATGTTCTTATTATGTCACTCCCACTGCTATTAATGTAACTTACAACTCTTCCGACTTCACAACAAGATTCATTGGAGCTAGGAATACAACTACAGGAATGTTTCAAACAAATCTCAATGCATTGCATACAAGGTTGAATATTTCAAAATCCTTTTACATATAATGTAACACCTAACAATTCTTCTGATTACAATTTAAACGCTGAACGTTTTAGCCAAGCAAGCATTTAGTGAGTGAATCTTTTTCATCGTTGAAATTATTATTTAAATTAGGGCTGGACCGATTTGACCTTATTAAATCCGACTGGAGCCAGTTTTAGTCGGATTTGCAAACACGAATCCGAACAAGGCCGAAAATCGATTTGTACGTTGATCAACTTGATGAGCAACTTTTACTCAACCGACAGAATTTGTAACAAAAATTAAAAAATTGTTAAAAGGATGGAATAATAATTCTATTTTCAAAAAATTGTTGTTAAAAAGAACAGGTCCATCGAGTAGGTTTTCAAATTAATAAATTCAATAAGACATGAAACGTATTTACCTGTCGTTTATAATTTAAATTATTTTTTAAGTAATCAATTTTTTTTGCAAAAATTACAATTTATACATTGCATTATGAACATATATACAATCAAGTTCAATTTATTTTTCATAGTTTATAATTGTCCGCAGATAAGTTTTTAGTAAGGACGATAATAATTAGTCTTTCTTGGTTGGCTGTATCCTCTGCCTCTGGTTGATCTGGAAAGATAGGACGAGTGCTGAGGGACATGAGGTGAATGGCGCTCTGCATGAAATGAATAGTTTAGTACGGTGGCTGGATGCTGGGAGATATGTAATTGGCTCTGAAGTCCGTATCCTTTTGTTGTTGTCGTCAACTGGTGTTTATTTGGTCTTTTACACATGACTTTAATTGTTCTTCCTCTTAAAAATGAACCGTTTAGTGTCATGGCGAGGTCGATGGAACTTTTGTTCCAAAATTCCATATACGCATAACCTTTTGGTTGACCAGTAAGCTTGTCACTGATGATGGTAGCCCTAACTATTGGGCCGCATGCTTTGAAATGGAGTTTCAATTCATTTACTGTCGTATTCAACTCCACATTTTCAATAAAAATGGAGCGTTCATGAACTCCGAGTGGTGACGAGACTATATTTTTTTCTAAAGTTTTTAATACTTTCAGTTTTGAAAGCATTTTGTTTTTGCTGTCTTTCAATTTTTCAAAAGTTTGATCAACTTTAATTTTTAATTCTTCAAATTCTGCTTTTTTCGACGTGACATTCTTAGTTTCATCATTGCCTCCGTCATCTGATCCTTCGTTAACTTGGCCTTCAGTATCTTCTGGTTCCTCATTTGTCTCGACTTCATCGATCAGTTCATCATAATCTAAAATTTCTTCCTCTTCGTAGGAAAACATCATGATTATTTCTAATTACTTTGTTCTTACGAAATAAAAATGAAAATTAACAATTATTTGATTGCACGAGTATAAATCGTGGAGATTATTTTAATTAGAAATTTCAGTTCAATTCGTGGCTTTATATAATAACGCTAGCTCTCTGTTTCTGTGTTCCCGCGATAAATAAGTCCAAAGTCGTTTCAGTTCCTTGTAAAACTGCTCTAAATTCGTAGTTTACAATTTTGTTAGTTTTTTTTTACATACCCACTGGAAGTTCTTTGTTGACTCTATCCTCTGATTTGCATTGAAAAACGTTTGTATGCATGCCACTGTAAAAAAATTATATCAGTCATAAAATGTTTGCGTCTATAATTTTTTAAACACCGCATGTCGCATTTTGGAAGTGAACTTATTCTTTATAATGGAAGATGATTTTGCAATCTGATCAAAACGGTATTTCCTCTTTCAATGTGATTTAATTTGAATCAAACTTTTAATCTTGGTTTTCAGTTCTACCTCTTTGTCACTTAAATTTTGAGTAAAAATTAATGTTTTTTAAATTAAATTTTTTGAAATTTAATGTTGGCCAGTACTGAGGTAGTTACATGGATTGTGACAAGTTTAAAAGATCAGTCGACTAACTTCGGCGACGCAATAAGTAATAAAATTAATTTTGACGCGTAATTTTAACAATTTTGTTTGTTGTAACAAAATTTTTAATCAAGAACGTTGTTTATTTTTTAAAATTTCAAATTAGTTATTGAATTAATTATCAGATTGGTTATTGTGTAATAAATTAAGTAACCACTTTTTGCTTTTGTCGAAGTTGTTTATCTGAGAGAAATTGCAAATTTGAATTGTAATTTTTAACAGCTTACAATGCGGTCAACGAGACGTTCCAACATTTGCTAATTCAACTTTTGTTAGCCTACGTATGTTAATGAATGGATTGTCATTCAGCAGAAGATTGATGGTTCAACAGATTTTAATCAAAGCTGGAATACGTACTAGGTGAATACAAAAATCTTTTCAATTTAGAACAATTTTATGAACAAATTTTACTCAACGACTAAACTTCCTGGCTCGGTGTGGAAAAAATGCACCAATTAACGACATCGGCTGATAACAGATTCAGATCTAGAGTTATCAACAGTGCCGGTTTTTTGTACCTCGCATGAATTTGAACATTTTTCAGTAAGTGTTGTGCGTAAAATTTTGTGCGTTATTTTTCCCTGCCTCGGAATATTAATTGCGTATGCAATTAGAGCTTGTTTTTATTAGGGTGGACCATGGTGAAACGGTAAAGTTTCGGTGTCCGATTCTATTAATAAGAATTTTGTTTAGTGCGTGAATATTATAATTGTCTATCAAATCGTAAAATAATTCATCAAATAATGTGTCAAACTTCTTTTTTTACCCATCCTTTGTTGAATCTGACACCTCATAAATCTAATAATAACAACTTCAACATCAGCAACAACAATTTCAACGACTTCAACAACAGGATAAACAAACTCAACAGCAACAACACAACCAGTATGAAAAACACATAAAACAACAACAACTTATTTTTAGCTTAGGTTATTTTGATTAAAGAATATAAAAATATATTTCTTACTACTATGTGTTTTTTCACCTAATGTATTTAAAAAATTTTGCGTTCTGTATTACGTATCAATATTCTTGAACAAAATATGATTAAAAAATATTACTTACTTTGAAAAGTTGAAATTGAAGGACAGTCTAACATTTGTACTGCATTAAGCCTAATTTAAATTCTCTAGACATTGTAGCAAAAATATAAATGTTGTTAAAATTTGTTAATATTTGAACTTTGAACGATAAGAGAATTAAGTTAAATTAATTGAAATGTCGTACAAAACCACTGGTTTCAAGAGCAAATTTGTCAAAACTTGTGTGATAAGGAAAAGTTCTCCAACTTTTTTTTTATACAAATCTACCCCTTCACTAAGAGAGGGGTGGGAAAATGGCTTACTGGCAAGTCATGATGAAGAAATTACTATAAATCTAATGCATATTTTAACGTTTTATTATATGATATAATTCAGAAAATAGGTAGTATTTATACTATTTAGTATTATCTTGATTGAACAGATGATAATAATAGTAAAAAATAAAATTAATTAAATTAAGATTAATGAAAAATTAAATTAAATCGATAGTGTTAAGAGTAATTGTCGACGTTGAAATTTTATTCATTTCTTTTTTATAAATAATTTCTCACTTGATTATTTTCAAATAGTTTAAAATATTGTAAAATTCTATCTTGCAATTAAATTTTCATGTCAATTTATTATTAAAAGTTTGTTATGAAACATTGTTAAAAAAACACCACGTTCGTTGGACTTGGAGTTATTGACTATCTTCGAAGTTCAAATTGTTCTAGGGAATTTTTTTTATTAAAAACTATAAATTTTGCAGTCCATTCACGGGCTAAAGAAATAATTATTTTTGTTTAACATTTGTTGAGTTTAAATTCTGAAGTAGTGGCTCAATCATTCAATGTTTTGTGTAAATGTCTTTGATTATACGGACGGATGCAAAATTTATTCATTTGCCCATCATTTGGTTTTCGTTCGGTCAACAATTATATAAAAATTTGAAAAAAAAGGTTGAAAAAAACAACACAGTTTTTGCTTTCGTACATATAATGATAGAATAATGAAATTGGTTGTTGCTTGGTCATTCTCCGAAGTAGAGAAAAACTTTGAAAGGTTAAAAAGATCAACTACACTCTTCCAAAGTTCAGGGGATTTATTATAAATGAATACATACTAAACGACGCATTACATACGAAGCATGTTGTAGGCGGGGATCTTTTTGTCACATTCGAACCCGGTTACTGCGAAACAGCGCCAGGCGACCTTAACCATTGGACCATCACGCCGCCATATGAAACATAATGGCGGAAATAGAAAATAATAACTGTTATTAGTAAACTTAAATGAAACATTCGGAGCCAGGTTCAATGCAACTGACCCAAAACCTCCACACAAAAAAGGTCCCTACACGAATGATAACGTAACTTCAACATAATTATTGTGAAATTTTTACTAAAACACTGGTTTTCATAGTAAAATTGTTTAAAAATTTGTAAAAAGCAAAACAAAACTATGTTGAGGCTTTGAAAAAAATAATTTGGAGCCAGAATAAATAATGTTTTGGAGTTTTAAATCATTAATCAAAAGTATTCGGTAAAATATATTAATTGATTTCATTGAATGAAAAAGAAAATATGGCTTATAATTCTGGTGAATATCGCAGAAATTAAAAAAAAAAAATTTTTATTTTCGAAATGATAGACTATGAAAAGAAGAGGAACTTAAAAAAAAACCAGCATAGAAGAAAGGGAGAAAACCTTTGTTAGCATTAAATTAAATGCGCAGCTAAAATACGTATATGTTAGATTAAGATTTCATCAAGTTTGTAAACGCATATTCGATTTTTGTTCATGGAATTCTCTTTACAATCTATAATGCTAATACTTACTAAAACTTTTGTAACATTCTACAAACAGATGAAATTTCAAATTTACTTGAACATTGTTGGTTAGGGTGAAGTTAAGAGAGTAGATGGTAAAAACTCCTGATGAAAGAACAAGAAAAATAAGTTTGTAATCGCGAGTTTTTGGATTCTATGTAATTGTATGCTTTTGTTTCAATTTTTTTATTTGGTACATCAGTTAACTTGAATTTGTTGATTATAATTACAATTATAATTACAATTACAATTATAATTACACTCAACATTTTAACAATCAAAGTTTACATTCAGATGTTACAAGTATTTTCAACTCACAATTAATTAGTAATCAATTTGGAATTCCTGCTTTTTTGCCTTGTATAAACAGTTAGTATTGATTCAGTTCTTTTTTTTGTTTATTTTTGTATCCAGAATTTTAATCCCCATTAACATTTTCCATTCTTTAATTATTAATTTGTTTTTTTTTCAATTTTTCTTTATTTAGTTTGTGAATCGAGCAAAACGTTTTATCAATTGTACCCAGCAAGACCATATTTTAAAATTAGATACAACTTCCAGATTTTGTCAACTAAATAGCATATAATTTTATAGATAAGATGCGTTGCGTATATGAAAGGGCAGTGAGTTCATGCAAGTCAAGGTGACCTATGTAATAATAGGAAAACACTGCTTGAAATATTTGCCAACCGTTGTTTCTTTGCTAATCGTTCATCGCCCAATTTTGAATCAATTTTTCTGTTCAAAACGATGTTTTTAAATATAAAAACTGTGATTAAACAATATTAAACACGACTACATTCTCAAAAATTACAACAAAATGGTTTTCACCTGTTGAGGATGGTTTGAATTTGCCAGAAAATACGCTTGAACTTATATGAACCTGTACAAATACATGATGTTTTAATCCAGCAAAGAAACACGTTGGTTTGTTGAACAGATGACGCCTAATTACATTAATGTAATTTAAATATAAAAACTTTTTAAACAATTTTCTGAACGTATTTCACAAAGATTTTTTGATAGTATATCAGTTGTTGACGTTTGTAAGCCTGTGAGTTAAAAATTAGAATGGGAGACAAAATGTTCTTGCCCTTCGTCATCGTCATGTCGTTAGCTCTAATTCTGGTGTCTGCCTTTTCTCGCCGTAGACGAAATCTCATTAGCGAGGTAAGTTCAATTGCGCCAACCTACAATTTTCTTTCGTTTAATTATTACTTTAATATAAAAATTAGTTAACATGAAAATATTTGCGAGATGGTAATGTTTGAAACATTCGAAACAGGCTCTATTTGCAATTAGGAATTAGAATAAATTTTCTATAAATTTAAATAAACGTGGTAATAAAAATGACAAACTTGTTAGACAAATTTTAAAACGTTGTAACTAGTAACAATTCATATAACGCTACAATACCTGTAGTTTCGATCAACCAATGTATAAATAACAGTTTCTGTTTCTCTCTGTTTCTCTATATAGGATCTAAAGCAAATTTTTACAATAAAAAAATTGCAAATGTAGCAAAGATAACCAAGATAACAAATAATATAGCGCAATTTGACTATTGCATATTGCAGCGGTTATAACAATATTATATATATAAAGTTTCTTTATTAATGTTGGAAGTACACGTACATTTGAAAATTAATTTAATGAACAGGAAGTTGATGGCGAAAAAGTTACGGTAACTGAGTTACAAACTCCTTCACAAGTTTCTGGACAAAGTGCCAGAAACGAGAAACATGAAAAGTCTTTATCTCCAGGAAGAAGACGAATTTATAAAAGAAGGGTTGTCGATTGCCTCTTTCACATAATCTCCTGCTTTTATCTCAACGGTCAGACAGAAAATTCGACATATAATTAAATGGTCTTTCTAATTTTATTTTTGAATTGAAATTATTCTCTTTTTTTCTATTTCACGCCGCCAAAAATAAGAAGACCGTGATTTGAAACAATTTATTTTTGTCTCAAGAATTTATATTTATAAATAATTGTTAAAGGTAATAATAGCTACAAACATTCTGAAAAAAGTAGATTGAAATTTTGTTGACTAAAGTATAAATATTATTATTGCAATCTAAACTACCATGAATAATATGTTTGAAGGGATTTGATAAAAAAACCTTTACCTGATGAAAAAAGAAAATTTATCTATGCATGTATATGAATTGGTAACTGCTTTTGTAATATAAACTGATTCTCAAGCTATCAATGGCTATCAAATTAATAAACTTTCAATAACAATTATATGTAAATTTTAAACAGAAACATTGAAAAAACACTACAGTTTTACAAGTTGCCTTTGTTAAAATAGAAAAATGTTAAAAGAATAGCGAGAAACGGCAGAGAGAAAAATTTTGAAACCGTAATAGCGACAATAGAAAATAAAAAACCTCCACACTAAAAGTCCCTACATGAAAGATAGCGTAACTTCAACCAAATAAATCTGCCTTATCACGTTCGAATAAATCTTTTATGGTCAAATTATGGTTACATTCCAATGTAAATTTTGTCGGACAGACGTTGCTCATGACAAAATTGTCACCAGCATCAATTTCATTAAAAATTTTTCATGACAATTCCATTTCAATACCACTCAGACACGTTTATCCAAGCTTTGGAGGATCACGATTAAAGTCAGTTAATGTAAACCATACTCGATGCCAGTCTAAATAATCATTTGATTTGGTTGGCTTGCGTGTAGTGAACTTTTGTTCAGACATTTTCTGAAATTAAAAACACAACTTGGAGGGTATCATCTTCATTGGAATAACCATAATTTTATATTTTGTTTCAAAATTTGATTTACACCTTTTTAAATAACTTGAAATTTGTAATTTGTTTGCCGGTACAAGAAATTAATCATTCTTTTATGGTCTACAGGTTTCTTATGAAGTATGTTTCTGTTTGATTTGTTTCAATGAATAAATTGATTTGACTCAATTGTATACTCAAATGGTCATTAAAGATTAATTCAATTTCCCATAGACAAAAGAATAGCAAACAAATTGCTGCCAGTATGTTCCAGCGGAAAAATATTAGACAGGATGAACAAAGCGTGGAAGTCAAATAGATGATCGTATTTCAAAAATAAAAATATTGCGGTTTGAAATGTTTTTTTCTCCTTTAAATCTAACTATTGTCAAAATAAAAATTCGATTCATGCATTCTAAAATTCATAAATAGTGTTTGAATTGTAGAAAAAGACACACAAATAATAATTAAAAGCTTATCCTTAACCTTACAAAGAATAGAAAAATCTTGATAAAACTTTTATTTTCAATTAATTAATGCTAAATTGTTTAACAATTAAATAGAAAGAATACACGAAACTTCAACAAATGTGTGTGATGTTAATAAATATTCACAGTTCCATCACCTCCCCTATGTACATTATATTACTGCACTGACTTGCAGGGACCAAAAACATGAAAGGGTGATGCACAATGATTTCAATGAGTTTCGGACCAACACTATCTGCCACATTTTCTTTTTTTTCTTTTCGTGTTATCCTTGCCTTCCTCTGAAAAAGTGACAGTCAAAACGCTTTCGTGAAAAAAAGATGTAAGGCAGATATTCTTTTGTTTGCTCATTCCCGATAAATCTGCTTTTTGGTGATTAAATATGCTATTTATCTTTAGATTTTGAAGGTAATTTTTCATATTGCAACCGAAATCCACTTTGAATTTGGGTAATAAGATATTACAATTATGATAATTATTGTTGAGTTGAATTTTTTCAATAATTTTTATGGACAATTTCGTTTCAACTTCTACCAAATTTGTTCTCTTGAAATCAGGTACGAGCAAAATGAAATTTAAGGAGTTGGTGCATCCAATATCGACAATTTGACACCATATTTCATCGTCATAAAAGTAGCGAAACACCTCATTCTTAATATACATATACTCTACCATCGCTACAGGACCTTGGAAATTGTAGAAGTTATCATTGCGTATGCTTGTTTCCTTAAATTGTCCGTTAAAATTGATTTTACAAGAAACGTTATTGACCAGAACAAGTTCAATTGGATAATATGTTTGTGCCAGTTCTCTTAAATCACTCTTTGATCGTTTGTTTATCCAACTGATGGTCATCTTTTCCAAAATCTGATCACTTTCTCTATAAAATTATAATAATGTTGATTTTATACTAACTTCATGTGGAAGATTTTTTTTAACTAAAAAAGTAATTTTTATAAAATATAAAGTTGAGTTATCGAAGCGCATGCAAATATGAGAAATAAAAGTTAATAATTTCAAATATTTTTCAAGACTATTAGATGTCCAATATTGAAAATATAGTATAACCAAAATGATCTATTGTTAAAAACATTGTGTAAAATATAGTTTTAAATTCCTAATGCAATAAACAGATTATCTGTAAAAGAAATTTTCAAAAATTAATTTAATTGCAATTTGTTTCAACAAAGCTTAAAAACGGTTTCACAGGAAGAAAATGTTTTTGAATATTTTATAATCGGTAAAATTCTGTTTTGAAACAAACCTGAAATCGACTCTTTTTAGAGAATTTTCATAATATTCCTGAAATTTGTCGACGAACTTTTTCAAAAGTGTCACAGGTTGATCAATGTACAACTCGTTGGTTTGGTGGAGTAACTTGTGGAAATACTTTCTGACGTGTTCCAAGTAAATTTTCAACCTTTTTAGTGCTGAATGAACATCTCCACTCGGGTTTTTTTCTGATCTCAATAGAGTATTTAACTCGGTTTTTGTATTTCCTGCAAATAATTAAAATAATAAACTCATGTGAAAAATTTAAATTAGATTTTTACCTTCAGATCCCAGAAGTATCATGGCGAGGGCCGTATAGACACCTGTAGGTGAGAACGCAAAGTTCGAAAACATGTTTGTGCTAGAAATTACTTTGAATAAATCTAATCCAAACTCTGCAATCGGATTGCTGAAGTCTACAAGTTCTTTATCCGATCTAGTAAACATAGTGCAACGATCCGATGTGCCAGATGTTTTTTCTTGCTGTACGTTGTCTATCTATGTTCGAATAGGATTTGATTATTGACGATTTATTGTTTAATGATTTTAAAGTTTATTTATAGAAAAGATGCAAAAATTGAAAATTTAATATACGTGATTTAATTTTCTCTGATCAAATTTCAAATGATTTTAATGTAAGCTTTTAATTTTATATTGACAGTATTTGTAGATGTGAAATATTTTTAAACTTTCTGTAAAAATTTTAGTCATGTCATATTTCATTAATAATTTGTTATTAATGCAATTAACTATGAAAAATTTATTTGGTTATTTCGAAAGTTTACTTAAATAACCTTCGAACGAATGTTCAGCTTTGAACTCATCTGGTATAATTCCCACAAAATCTGATCTCGTACCATGCCAATCATTTCATATCGAAGTCACATTCAATTTAAAATGCTGACCTTAATGTGACTTAATAGATGGACTAAAGTTGAAAAACTAGTTCTTCATGTAACTTCCTCTCAATGTTATCTGTCTTAGTAAGGTCAGGTCGTAACACGAAAAAGTTACAAACAACGTTGGTCATAAACGAAAATATGTCAAACAAGTTAGCACGATCGACCATATTCAATCAAACCTACACACACACACACACACACACACACACACACACACACACACACACACACACACACACACACACACACAACGAACAAATCAGAAATTGTTTGGTATTCAGTCATTCCTTCATTTCAAAAGGTTATTTTAATTTATGCAACTAATTTTATACATGCTATAGTTTAATAAATAATTTTCCTCTAATTCTCATTAATTCATATTTTTTTTAATATAAAGCGCTCATATAAACAATAAAACTCAAGAGAGGAATGTCAGTTTGCATGTGGTTTAAATTAATTTAATTTAATATTCACTGTATTGGGAATGCTTCTCAAAGAATTTTTGGTAAATAAATTGGTCAAAAAATCAACAAACGTGTTTCTTATTAATTTTTCAATTCCACTGATTGCGAATTTAACATCGTGATTTGATTAAATAAATAACATAACATAAATAATATATTTTTCATTTCTTACAGTGCAATTTATTCTCCAAAACATTAATTTACTCATTCATATTTCAAAAATCAATGTCAGACGGTATTCAACAAAAAAATAGAAAAAAATTAGCAAAACAGTGTACCCATTACCATATACACGAATGTACATACTGTGTTTTTATGTTAATAAAAAGTTGTTGCCCATTTCTGATGAAATTTTATCAAAATCACCCGTTTTATTTTAGTCTAATTAAATCCCAATTTAACACCTTCAGCTGTTTACTACTAGATGATATAATTCTCTTGAGTGCAGTCGTTTCGAGTTCTTATTAACCCTGATGGTAAATAGAGTGAAAATAAAATCCAACAGAATAGATGTTATTTTTTTAACTAAGCGTATAAAAGGCACTATTGGATGAGAGTTTCTTCATTTTAAAACTTCGCGTTATGAATTAGTTTGAAGTTCCAATTAGGTTATATGCTTCTTTTTCTATATAAGTTTTTGATAAAGTTGCCAGTTATAAGCATCATCGTTAACGTTTTAACAGTTTTAGGATTATATTGAATGAAAATGAATAAATAAACATTAAACTCGTAAGAAAAATTAATCAGTATGCAAATTAAATTATTAATTAACTAATTACTTAATTAATTAACTAATTAATTACCAACATAAACCAATTTTTATTAAAAATGGGCAACAACATAAAATATTCAACCTTTGGCGACTAGGACCTTGCACAAGAACAAAACGTTGGCAAAAACGCAAGACTAAAAAATAAATTTTCAGGCATCAGCGTCCCAATGACAGAGTTCGGACTGAATTTTTTCAGGATGATGGCAGTCTCGGAACCGGACTCAAATATTTTATTTTCACCTACCAGCGTCTTCGCCGGACTTTCTATGTTATCCCTTGCAGCTAACTGTAAATAGAGAATATTTCGAAAAAATTTACACGTTTAATTTTTTTTTCAAATTTAGTTAACTGTGTAAGTGGTAGCCGAGCTGGAACTTAGAGATTTGTCACGAGATGCAGAGACTAATTTGCGCTCCCTGTCTTACTAAACATTATTTTACTACCGTAAGCTAATGCTTAAATGCAGTTGCTTAAATTACAAAAATTTTACGCCAGGGTATCCTGTCCCATTTGCCCACTTTAGTTCAGGGCCTGAGCAGTGGTTATACTTATTTATTTTCAAGCGTGTGTGCTGAATTGATGCTACATCTGAATTACTTAATGCCAATAGTTAAATTTTGTGTGTGATGTTTAGGTTTTTTTTTTACCACAGGTAAGACAAAAAGCGAAATAAAAGCAGCTCTAGGATCAAATAAATATCCGTTTGAAAGTTTTCATACGTTAATAAAGGAGTTGTACAAACATTTCAAACGTTTTTCAAATCGGGGTTCTTACTTCCTCAATGAAATTAATACATGGTACACTGATAAATCGATTTCAGATGCAGAAGCATTTTTTAAGAAATGTTCGAATTATTATAATTTTGATAGATCTACCCTTGATCCCGAGTTAGTTGATTAATTTAAAATAACTAATCACATCATTGGTGAAATCTTACAATACAATTCTTAATAATTAAATTTTCATTTATTTTCTTGCTTTAAAAAGCGGTTATGAAAAAAATAATGTCAATCAAAACAGAACAACCTATGAAAAATTTGACACATCATTTTATTTGTTTTTTATTGTAGAATAACTGTTGGTGCTTGAAAGTTTTTAATTAATTCTGACATTTACTGGAAAACGAATAACCACGTTGCAAAAGCCATGGAAGAAGGAACATTACCTGGAACCACTCGACTTGTCCTCTTGCACACAATTCTCTTGCAATCACATTAGGACATCGAATTTGACAGAAAAAACACACGCGAGGGTGATTTTTTCACAAATGAAAATGAAGTCACGAAAATTGAATCCTTGTACGCTTCAGACATGCTGCAAAACTGCTACTACGACGAGTACCTCATGAGCCAAATAATGGAAATTGAATATAAAGATCACGCGTTGTCTCTCATTGTAATTCTTCCTGATCACACAAAGACCAGCTTAGATATGGTTGGAATAAAATTAACAAATTCGATTATTGACGGCATTGGACATGCCCTCAAAAACAATCAGCACGTATCGGACATCTGGCTACCGAAGCTCACACTGGATTGTGGTCACGATATGATAAAAAACTGGAACAATTTAGGAATATTTAATGTTTTTGAAAAAGATGACGCAGATTTGAGCAAAATGACAAAAATGGAAGAAGTCTTTCTGGTATCTTTCTTCCACAGAATGTCTTTTAAATTAACAGAATACGGTACATGTGTTTATGAGACAGCCGCAGAGGTGAAGAATAAAACGGTTGCAATGACCTACAGCGAAACACCATACAAATTCAAAGCAGATCACCCGTTTATAATTTACGTTCTAGAAAAGAAGTCCAACATTGTTTTGTGTTTAGGAAAGTTTGTAAAGCCATGAACATTTGAGAAAATGTTGTTTAATTACAAATAAAATATTTTGTATTATAAAAATTGTAATTTTATTTTACGTGACTTTTTATCTCGACAAAACATTTTTATTACAATACAGTTTTCAAATTTGAATGAATAATATTTCTATTAAAAAAAAGTCTGTCTATATTTTGTTGTAACCTCTTTACCTCGTAACTACCAACACCGATGTTATAGCTTAAATAATTTCTATATCTTTAACACCAGTGTTGTAGCTTCAAGCGATAGTCAAGAGTTCGTTTATCCGTAGGTTCAAGATTTCCGATAGTTATGTTTGTATAAAAAGTTTTTTTTCTTTTTTAACGATTTTGAAAATTTATACTATAGAATAAAATAATTTAACTATTTAAACGCAAGAACGTGTGAGGAGTTTGTCACAAAGGTACTTACGTGTGTTCTATTATATCTGTAAGTTATTGAAAGCCATGTAATATCCTTAAGGCCCGATTGGATGTTATTGAAAATTGAAATTCCATAACTTGAATAATTGTTGAATTATTATCAGAATGTGAATCAAGAGTAAAGGGATCCGTTTCAAGTTTACAAATAAGGAAGCATTGAAGACATCCTGACAGAAAATTTGACAAATTTTGTTATAAAAAAAGTTAACTGCACATTATATCGATTTTATTTCAATACTTATTATCAAAAATTAAATGTGTTCAAATTGAATTTAGTAATCATTTCATAACATTCAAGTCTCTAATTTGTTGTTTTTTTTCACTTTAATTAAGTTTAACTACATTTTAATTTATTCATATTATATATGACTTCACATTCACTGTTGAATACGCATTATCCTTGTTTTTTTCCCGGTCAATTTTTGTTTTCAAATGCATAGTGTAGTAAACAAACTTTTTACTTTATTAAAGTTGCTATAACTATTAATACGTCAATTTCTTGTGTACATATATAAATTTTGGCTCGTTAGGTTGCTAATTAGTTGCAGGTTATGAAAATAAAGTTGAAAAATTTTTTTCATGCATTTTTTTTTGTACAACTATCTCTTTTTTAAAGAAGCTTTCAGTTTTTCCATTTCAATATTATTTATTTTTAGGATATTTTGGGATGGATCTTCTAAAATATTTCTTTGCCTCCTACTTTAGAATACCATATATTTTGTCTTAGATAAATTAATATTAATTTTATTTGAGTTGAACCAGTTATGTGAATCAATCAACCAACAGTGACTCGGATTTTTTAAATAATGTCGATTAATTAAATTTTAGTAACAAGAGATAAAAAGCAATATAATCAACCAACCATACAATATATAATATTAATTTAAATGTGTACATACCAAGCATACAATAACGTACAAACATCCCTGAAAATGGAACTATATAATGCAACATTTATGTAAATTAGGTATTTATTATTAATGTGCACATATACCCAAACCTTTGATCATTTAAATGACATATTTGTATATACATGAAATTAAGTTAATAAGTCAACGTACTGGCGATTTAATGTTTATTCTAAAATTGCATTAATAAATAGATCTCATGTTAGGATAATAAAGAATAAACAAAGATTTAAAACAATTTTTCCATTCTAAATATCAATTTTTGATTGAAAAACTTTATTGATTTGCGATCTAGTCGAACAAAGAAAGCCAGCGTAGGTACGTTAAGTCTGCACCTGTTATAATTTACGGCGCCAGCGAGCAATAGATATAAATAAAATTCAAAAGAGGTTAACGGTTGGTGGCATGCATGAATGCAAGCTGCGTTTTGTTAAACGCCTCTGATCAATACGGAATATTCGTGCGAGCCCAAAGGAGGTCAAATTTTTCTTTAGAAAAGCATTTTTATTTAATTTTATAATTAAGGTAAATAAATTGTTAAAAAGTTAGTAATTTATTCAGTTGTTTCTGAAGAAATAAAATTTTTTTTAATCTGGTAGTAGTTGACAATTTATAACAATAAAATAGGTTATGTTAACTTGACTTATTTCAGATGGATAAAACTATGTTAATCATCTTGATGATTTGCAACTGTCATTTACGGTCAGAAATGTTTCACTAGACGATTGAACTGCCAACGGAAAGATGAATGCTGTTCTGACCAGTCGGCAATGCATACAGCATTCGAAAATGAATCTGAAAGTAAAGCGCTACTTCTGTGCTCTTTGGCGTGTGCCAGTAGCACCCAGTGCATTGCTTTCAACTTCTATCACGATTCTTACCTCTGTGAAACTTTTGACAGTAAACCACGTGCGTGTTTCATTTACATCGAAAATTGCTCTCACAGGTATCTTGCAAGTTAGTCCATCTTTAGATGAATTTGTGAGTTTTTTTATGAGTATTAAGTATTAGTATTTATCTTGCAAGTTGGTCCAACTTTAGATGAATTTGTTAAGTGTTTTTAAAATCATTCAATTGTAAGCAATCTATAGATAACATCTTAGTTAGGCAATAACCAGTGGCAGATCTGGACAACAATTTGTAATTACATGTGGTGTTTTTTGGCTGTGTAGAAAGACCTTAATGTTAACGGTTAATTATGTGTCATGCAAGGCTGCGTGTTTAAGTTTCTGTATTTGTGTTCGTTAGTAAACCTGTGTTTATTCTGTTGTAAATGTTGCTATTCATTACAATATTTTTAAAATATTTTTTCAAAATTTTACAATTTATTGCTAGATTTGAAAATTGTTTTTCGTTTAATCAGCATTTTGAAGCACATTGTTTTTTTTCTTTTTTTTAAAGTTATAACAGAGCAGAACACTCGGTAATTTTAAACTATTTTCAAAAGGTATTGACACTTTAAGCTTCTTTATAAGATTTCCGTTGGTAGTATTTCCGTATTTCACTGATGTTCATGTATTTGTGGTTTTAAAATGATTTTATGGATGACGATGATACTGTCATTAAAACCCTTATATATTATTGGTTCCAATCATAGTTTTGACGATTAATTTGATGAAGTTGGTTGATGATATCGGCAGAAACATTTTTGTATAGATCTGTACATTTTTCATGATGGATAAGTTGTCTGTTAGGCCTTCTGGATAGTTTTGTAGATAAATAAATAAATAAATTATTGTTTTAATGAAATTCTTACTATAAACTTTCCAAGCCTATTGCCATTAAATATGTTTTTAAAAACGTGTTTCGGTTTATTAATATTTACCTTAAATTGAAAAAAAATCTATTTATAACATTTAAAAATTAAATTAATTAATATATATTATAGGTTCGTTTAATCGTAATTTATCGGTCAACATCAACTTTGGATTTGCAACGTTGTATATTGATGGCGAACAGCAGCCAAATATCTCAAACTGGAACATGAATGCTGCTACTAACAAAATCTCAGTCCCGTTTAACGCAAAAGTCATTGCGATTGAAGTTCTGAATTTTCTTCAGAAGAGTGAGCGTACGTGTATTGCATTTAGAATCGTTAAAAAGTTCAATTGACTCTTTCTGAATTTAATCTGCATCATTACATTCAACACTAATTATTGCCAAGCAAGATTGGTTAAAAGATAATTTATTGACAAAGTCGCTAAAATTTATTCGCAACTATTTTGTACCCACATTTTTGGGTTTTCGATTGTATATGTAATGAAATAGAATCAACAGAACTTGAAAGTTTGCTACTCAATATTTAATGAGTAGCACGGACTTTCAGCATGACATTAAAAAGTTAAAAAAGCTTCTAAACCATACTAGCGGATTTGAAATATTTCGGAAGGCTGTTCAATATTGTATTATAAATGAAGAAATGTTAAAAATCAAATAACTTGAAAAACGTAATTCTCTATTTGCCACAGTCTGCATTATGCGAATCAAAAAACATGATTAGGTGCTTTTGTTTTGGTCTAACTTAATAGAACCCAAAATTTTATCCCAGAGACTAAATTTTTCACATTTATGACACGATATTATTCAATTTCACAATTAAAATTAAACTTGGATGTATGGATGAATGGATAAATGAATGGATGGATAGATGGATGCTTCAATGAAAATTGAAAGTTCCTCCAGATATATTTTAAATTAAACTTGTTAGAAATTTTGTCCCAATTGAGAACAAAAACGAGTCTCGAATAAACAGAAACATCACTGCTTCATTATTGTCTACCTCTAGGTGCTACTTCAAACTTTCAATTACTGAAATTTATTTTAACTATGACGCAATCACTAAAAACTGATGAAAAAATAAAATTAGATTTTTTATAATTTCGTTGATGGAATAAAAATTCAAACGAAACCATACTATAGTTTTGATACGATTTCACAAACAGATTACATCCAGGCCTTCAGTGACGATGGTTACATCAAGACAGACACGACATGGAGGTGTTCCACATTGCCTCCAACACTGGATTCCAATAACAACAACTGGTTCGATCCTGAGTACGATGACTCCAGCTGGCCACCAGCCATCAATGTTGATACAAATTTTAAGGGGTATTATGGATCTCTGAGAATTTGGGCGGATAACCGCTACGATGCTTTCTGCAGGAAGAATCTCTGCATCTGAAAATTTAACATACACTTTTAAAGCTAAACAAATGCATATGTGTTTATATTTTGAAATTTTCATTTTGAAATGTGTAAAAACGTTCCGTTTAGATGGATATAGTTATGTAAGTATTTGTGGATTACATATTAAATGATTAAAGTGAGATTTTACTAACAAAACAATATTTAGCTTTGAATGTTCTGCTTGATATTTGTATTTTTGAATTATTTCATATAGACGCCATTGAATTCCCTGATTGGTATTTAAGATAAAAATTATTTTCTTTTAAATAATCTCTGACGGAAGTTGAACTAAGATTCAGATGCTGGCTAGATGTTGTGTTTTTGAACTTTTTCATTGCAAGTTTTTCTTATAAATGTTTAATCGTTTCGAATATAAAATATGTCTTAAAAAATCTTTAATCGGAGAAATTGATTTCAACTGACTGATAAATCAATTGTTATAACATTCTAATAGACATCAATAAACAACTATTTCATTAATTAAGTTCAATGGGTACACAACAAACATTTGTATGCATAGGTGTGCTTGTTGTTGGTGCCTTTAAAAATTGTTGCGGAGAGATTTGTAGTAGGATAATAATAATAAATTTTAATTTTACTTAATTATAATTTTATTAATTATAAATTAAATAACAAAATCATTTAATAGCAATCAGTGATCATTATTCTAAATAAAAATAATGCTATTCTTATTTTTGAAAATATTTAAAATTCTAAATGAACAAGACGGTTTTTGAAAATTTATTAACCTAAACAAACTCAATCAACAAAATATACAAATGAATTAATTGTACGACTCAAATTAACGAAGTAATAAAAGTTACACAGCTGTTAGACAAATTACACGTAGGCCTATTGAGATTTTTGTATCCGTAACTACGCATAAAAACTACTTCGTGTTGATCGCCGCTTAACATTTCTTGTGTCAGCCGGATATTTCGATATTACGTGCTAAAATGTTAATTACTTTAACGCGACGTAAAAATGTGAATTTATATGAATAAAAAGCATGGATATATTTCAAAATTGAATAAATTCATAAGCATGAATCGAAATCAAAACGAACGAAACATAATGAAATTATTATTAAGATAAATATCAGTGTAAAGTAAACAACCGAACAGTCATATAAATAAAAAGCCATGAATTAGATAACATATATCTCTCTCCCAGCTTTGGACAGCTACTAAGCCTAATAAATAAAAGACTGTATTATAGGAATTTTCTGAATGAATCAATATACTAATGAAAACATATAATTCATCAAATAATAATAAACAAAGAAATCATACGAATCATAGAACTGAAATGATTTTGAATTCCATAAATAAAAAAAAAAATTTCTTTTTAGCAGTCTCCAGATCTCAAATTAAAACTTTACAACCAAGCTAGAATGGAAAAATTATTAAATCTATCTAGTTTTTGAACTATAGCAATTACCAAAAAGTTACTAAATTAATTAGATCATCACTTGACCAGTTGAATCTAAAGCTTCACCATTAAACCACCAGACTTGTCATTTTACTATATTGCATTGACTACAATTGCAGAGATGACGATGATCGTGAACAACCAGAAAAATTATTGTTAATAATAATAATAAAAATAAGATTTTTGATAATATTAATAACAATAAGGTTGATGTCATAGTAATAATAGCAATAAGCGAATGTATAATGATAATGATAGATATTAATAATAATAATAATAAAATCGTTTAAAAAACATAGTTTAAAAAATCCACATAACATTGAAAAAGTAATAAACACAAAGCTGCAACAGCCATGCATCCATCTATTCATCCATTGAAATATCCATCTATCCATCCATTCATTTATTCATTCATCCATACATCCATCCATAACACATAGTAACGGAGTAAATGTCTTACAACTAAACTAACATAACCGGTTACAAGGAATGACTATATATATATATATATATATATATATATATATATATATATATATATATATATATATATAATATTTTGGGTTTATACTATCATAAATACAATTATTTATAAAGATCGCTGCACTTTCGGCATTATTCAACTTGTAGTTGAGTTAACTCAACTCTACAAGTTGAATAATGCCGAATTATTTTCTTAATTTAGTTCTTAAATTATTATAAATTCATTTCAGTTTGAATTTGAAAAGGAATAAGGTCAATGATGTCTTTTTGTTCTTTAACATAGTGTTATTTATTGGATGGTTTAACATCTAAATCATCATTAATGCAGATAATATTTAATTGAAAATGGTTGAGTAGATCAATGGATTGACAGAACAATGAATGAATGAATGGATGTATGGATGGATGGATGGATGGATGGATGGATGGATGGATGGATGGATGGATGGATGAATGAAATGTGTTGGATGGATGGATGGATGAATGAAATGGGTTGGATAAATGGATGGATGAATGAATGTATGTATATATGAACAAAATTGCTAAGGAGGGAATGAATGGTGAAATAGATTAGAAACCTGGTGAATAATAATTCAATATCATTATGATTAACTTTAAATTTCAACAAGATTTGTGCGCTAAACAGGGTTACACTTAAAGAAAATCTAGAGGAAATATTTTAACCAAAAATCATCTTATTGTGAAAATATTTAGAGTTATATCGATTAAATATATTTTATTATCAAATATTTGTAGGAAGAATAAAAATAACATAAAAAAAGAAACCGTTAATTTTCAACTTGAACTTTTTTAAATTACTGATCATTTCTGTTCACACATTGACTAAACCAATCAAAACTTTATTGTGTGTTTTATGTGGTAAAAGGATCAATTTTATTCACTCATCTGGGAAAATAGACACGATCAATTAAACTATTAAAAAATTTTAATTCTTGACCATTTTATTATTACCATTTCATTTAAAGAAAAAATTTAATTTTGTTTCGCGGTCCAAAACTTTTCTAGAAAAAATAAAAGAAAACTAAAAAAAAACTAACGAAATGTTTAAAAATAAGAAACTTCATTGGTCCAAATATGCTTGCAACGACTGATTAAACATTTGTTTTTATTCACACAAAAAATTAAACATCTCAATTTGGTTTTAAATGATTAGCAAATACATTTTTTTCAATTTTCCAACAAAGATTAATATGATCAACCTTTTAAACTCAAAGGAGGGCGATGAATGAAGTTAAAAGTTAAAAAATGGACCTGGTGATATGTTAGAATGGAGAAAAACATGAAAATTAAATACCTAAATTTTCAAAAAATAAAATAATTACTTAACCACTAATCTATTCAACTTATTATTAATCTCTACAGTGTCGGTTTGAAAAAAATCTACAGAATTGTAAAAACAGTAACGAGAAACAGTTTTCAAAAATTTCCAATTCCTTATAAATGACGTTAAATCAATTTTCTAAAAATTCATAACGACTAGTTAGTTAGTAAACCTAAACAACCTTAACAATACGTAAAATAGCTTTCGATTAAAAAATTTAAAAATAAATTAAAGTTAAAAAAATAATAAATATATTTGGTATCAATTCCATGTAATAAAAGTATAACTTTTTATGAAACAGTTTGTCGTTCCGACCGGTAAATAACAGATTTGGTTAAAAAAAATTAAACCTTTTTTTCTCCTCAAAGTATGAGTCATAACGTTGTATAGGCCTGTAAAATTAGATGAGGTGAATGAGAATAATTATTTTTTAATAGTTTTTCAAAACAATTAACTACCTAAACTTTAAAATTTAATGAAATAAGTTTATTTCCTGCTAAGATATAGAATTTCAATTGCTTCTTACATCATATTTTATACTTAAATAAACAGTTAACTAAAAGTTTCAAATTGTTTTCTTCGGATAGTTTCATGGCAAAGGGTGTATTTTGGACAATGAAAAAAGGCTCTTTGCATTATTATTATAAAACACTATAAAATTAGGAATTTATTTTTATAAATATAACATGGGACTTTAACAATTTCACATTCATATGACTTTGATAAACTTGCAACATTTAAAGTTAGATCTCAGAATTTGAAATCTGACAAGCCAATGAGTCATAATAATCATATATTCTTCATGCTTATCAATATCCGTAATTATTAATTATTTATTACACAAAAGAAGGTGGATCAACTTAATGAATGAAAGTCATTTCAAAAAAATTTGATGAATATTTTCCAAAATAGAAATATAGATTAATTATTGAAAATAACAATTCAATATAGTTGTCGGTATACAATTGCACAATATTGATGTGTGTGCGTGTGTGTGTATCTGTGTGCGTGTGTGTGCGTGCGTGTGCGCGTGTGTGTCTCTGTTTGTACAATAAGTACAGTTTTTTGATTGAAACATAGTCTTATATGGAAATTATCGTAATTAGTGATATTAAAAAACATA